CATCTTTAAGTGTTACTGTTCCTTTCCATATTAGTTGCCACTTTATTTCTTGAAGGGGTGAGCTAAAGCTAGCAGTTGTACCCCTAGTTTTCAACACAGCTTTCACATGGTCGCTTAGCATTTCTCCATCCCTTTTCTGTATCTTTAATAGCTCACTCCCATGCTGATGTAGGCCCTGATTCAGCAAAGACCTTTAGCACGCTAACAAGACCATCTCAGTTCAGCAAAGCAAGTGCTTAAGTCCCATTAAGTCAATGGGGCTTCCGTGCTTTGCAGAATCAGGATGCCTTGCTCAATCAGGGCCACAGGGTCTGACCCAGTTCCTATTGAAGGCAAGGAGAGGTTTTCAATTAACTTTCATATGAGTTGTATTAGGCCCAATCTAAGTAGAAATTCTCATTGATAAGGCACGTTTCTGATGCTATGGACAGAGTGATATAGTTATTCTTTATGTTTTATCTTGCACATTGAAATGCTATAGGGTTAAAAAACAAACAACTAAGAATAGCCAGAGGATATCCGTCAGTACAGACAATTGTCTCAGAAGTGCCTAGCTATGCTGGTGTGTCGTACAGTTGCATTAATACATGCCCCAGGCATGGTATTGTATACTAACTGTATGTATGCAAAAGAAAATAAAACCTGTAAAACAACATGGGGGTTTTTTGTATTGCCCATTGGTTCAAATGCATTGTGTTTTGTTTATGGATTGCAAGGGCAGCTTTGCAAAAGTTCCAGAATGAAACCAGGTACAAGTCACATCTTGCTTTGTTTTGTTTTAAACACGTAGGCTATGTCTACACTGCATCCAGGAGTGACCCTTCCAGGCAGGATCCACAGACTCGTACTAGTGGGGCTTGCACTTGAAATAGCTGCAACTCAGGCTCTCAAGCCTACGTGTGGGGGCTTTAAAGTGCTGTCTGCACAGCTATTTTTAGAACCCTAGTGCAAGCCCTGCCAGCCCAAGTCTGTCGACTCAGGCTGGGACGCTCACTCCTGCCATCTCCATTCCCACAGGGATGAAATGACTTGCCCATGATCACCCAGGAAGTTGGTGGCAGACCTGGGAACTGGATCCAGATCTCCTGAATCCCAGTCCAATGCCTTAACCACAAAATCATCCGTCATCCCTGCACTACACATGCTGTGTGATCATCTTTGCCTGCTCATGCTACATTTTAAAAAGTGACGCCACATCTCTCTCCAATCTGATACAAGCTGAAGTCGAGTGTAGAACTGCAAAAACTACACTATATTTTGAACTGGAGGTGGAAAAAAACTGACGCAACAGACGAAGTGACTTACTGGTGTTTTGTTTGCTTTTCCTTGCTCTCTCTTGAACCAGACGTAAAATCTTGTCCCAATTGAAGTCAGCGGAAGTTTTACTATTAACTTGAAAGAAGCCAGGATTTCACCCCATGTATTTACCACTGGTGGAAGCAAGATATTGAACTTGATGGCCTGGATTCAGCAAAACATCTGATGTGCATAAGTGCTCTGCTGAAAAGAGATGGACTTAAGCACTTACTTAAAGTTAAGCACAGGCTTAGGGGTTGTGCTGAACGGAGGCCTATGTTGTTATTCCAATACTTAAGACTGATTTTACCCAAAAGTATCAATGTAAGGACTTTTCTATAATTAACCAAAAATTGAAATGCATTGAGCTAACCCCTTGAAAGCCAAAGCAAAGAGAAAGATTCCCTTTGAATGAATTCATTACAATTAAAAAAACACCAACACCACACACAATCACCTGTCCCTAGTCACGTGAAAGCTAGAACAATGCAGAGAGGAATATATTCAAGGGCTTTACTTGGGACAGATTAGTATATGATGACTGCTTTCTGTGAACTGACCTGAGATAAAAAGGAACAGTGCACTATGGTGAAACTTAAACAAATGGGTGATTTATCTGCATTATTCTAGCACTCTCTTTATCAAAGTATTGCCATGGTCTTTAGTTTTCATTGGCTAAAACTTGCTGCTGCTGATAAATAAAACTGTGCTGTATGCAGCCCCTGAGCAAATCAAATGGCACGTGATGAAGAGGGAAAGTTTTGCCCTACTGTGCTAACATGCACATTTTTTACAAATAGTTTTAATTCATTGTCTTTGAGGCCAGAAGGGACAATTGATCATCTCGTCTAATCTCCTGCTGAACAAAGGTCACAGACCTTCACCCACTGATTCTTTTCCTCTTTGATATCTGTGTTCCAGATGTATTGCAGTTCATTTTCCTGCTTTCCTCCCCACCCCTTTTCCATCTGTTTTGAACCTCTTTATAGCTAAAGTCTCCATCCTGAAATGCTCTCCATGCTGAAGTCAATAGGGCTCTGCACAACCACAGTGGTCTGCCAGTGAGGAACATACTACAGGATCAGGGCCTCAGTTAGCATCTTCAGGCTCCCGTTTCATATTCTAGTGGGGTTACTGAGGTTATCAGAGGAAATATACCCCAGAAGTGTTCACTGTTTGTTACATTGTCTTCTGATCCCAAGGTATGGCAGATGACATGCAGTAGGCCTCAGCCCTGATTCTAGGAGCAAACACAGTTGATATCTCTTACCCTGGTTGAGAAATGTACCCATTTGTTAACTTATTTAATGATCATAGGTGTGCAAGGCTTTTCAGCAAACATTTTCAATCAGGCCCCTAACAAGTCAATCAGAACTGGGGGTGCTCAGCATCTTGGAAAAATTTGGCTAATTTTTCAGGCGCCTAACTTTAGGCACCCGTTTGAAAATCTTGACCTTATCCTCTCACTTGCTGATGGGAAGAAAGTCTCTTGTGAGTAGATGCCTCACTGCTGCATCAAAGCTGAGAGTACACAGAAGAGACCACTGAGGGTGTGAATCTGGCAGCAGACAGGAGAGTAGGATTTAGCAGCAGAGAAGTGAGAGACAGAGAAGATACAGGTGTATCTAAGTGCATTAGAAGGAGGATGGTCCAGCAATTAGGGCACTGCCTTAGACTATAGGAGACCCACGTTCAATTCCCTACATGGCCATGGACTTCCTGTGTGATCAAGGCAAGTCACTTAGCTTCTCTGTACCCATCTGTAAAATGGGAATAATAGCACTCCCCTACCTCTGAAGGGTGTTGTGAGGCTAACTACATTAAAGACTGAAGCACTTTGAGATCTATTGATGAAAAGCGCTATGTAAGAAATTGGCATTATTAGTATTAACTGGTTACCAATTTCAAGACAATTCAGACCTTGACATTATGGGCTTATCTAGATTAGGAAAGTTTGCACCAGTGTAACTATATCAATGTAATTGTTCCAACACAAAGATCAACACATTGCAGCAGTGCAGAAACAACCACAATGTAGGCAACACCTAAGTCCATGAAATCAAACTGGGCCCACGAGCCAGCATAATAAAACAAATATTATGCCACAATAGCTGTAAATTATTTCTGTATCTAAAGTAATATTTTATATTCTGATTTTCCCAAGGAACAACATGTTGCCACAATGTCTCACAAAACCAAACTGAACAGGGTAAGCAGAACCTTTTGCAGGGCTTCTGACATGCTTGACATTAACATATCCAATGGCAAATGAAACCAACTTTCATACAGCACAAATAATGTAACACAGAAATCACCAAGCATACAGCAGCATAAAGTGTGCCCGAATAGCATCACCACCTACTCAATGAACATGGCAAAAAGCTGACAGGGACGAGCCCTTTGAGGAATGAGTAAAATGTGAATGATGCTGATACAGCCTGGCCCACTCGGTGGGAGGAAGACATCTTCCAGCCTTTCTCCATTGAGGAGGTAGAGAGAGCACTGTTAGAGGGCTTTCCCTTCACCCTCTCCCCTGGTT